ATAGGACAGAAAGTGACTTCTATACTTTTAAAATTTATGCAAAACTTAGGAGGTCTTTAGACCGAGCCAACTATAGTATAAAGTATTCATAACGTTATGATCATACCGTACCGGATTTTGGGGTTCAAACAAAATCAGCGCATATGTCGTTGAAAGGATTCTTTTGTCCATTGGTATATATATTGGAAATTCAACAAATGTCAGGTAAATATCATTAACAATATGATACGTTAAATTTTTTATTGGATCAGATGATTTGTAATCAATTTCTCACAATAAATCATGACATCTAAAGAGAAGAACTAAATTTTCAGGTTGACCGCGTTGTTTCACAACTATAACGATCAAGTCCTCTTCCGCAGAGTGGAGCTTAAGGCTGCAACTTGACAATTATCAATTGTATTGTTATATAATTATTGATCAATTCATAAGTATGACACTCGATTCTCAAAAATCAAAGAAAAATGTTTTATTAATGTTAATTCGAATGATAAAGGACTTTTTTTAGCTTTTGATAATGGGATATTGTTATTTAGAACGTCAAAGTTACAAATATGGAAACAAAAAATTGATGTGTAAATAATTTTAACAACTTCCAATCAAGGATATGTATCGTTTGGTTAGCCAGTTGTCCCCTCAAGAATTCTTTTTTTAATATATAACAACAACAATATTATATTAATCATATCAACAACTGCGATTATTATAAACATGGCATCTGATCTAGTAATGCAAATGATGTCAATTCATGTTTAAATTATTTCAGTTGTAAATATATATTGCATAAATGTTTCCACGCTTGTTTTAAGGATTTTATTATTGAAGGTGACCTGATTAGTCAAGCGAGATGATTAATCTTTAATTTATTATGATAAATTGGGTTGTTGTTTTTTGACATGCGGATACTCTATGGGGACACATAAGTAAATTACATTTAAAATTCGTTATATCAAAACTACTGATCACGCATTTCAATGATTTTAAAAATTCGTTGTACGGAACCTAATTATAATTTGTTGAAACCAGGCTGTAGCTACTATTACTTGCGCTATACGATATTATGAGTCTTGTTTTAAGGCGAGAAACTTGTTATTTATTTTATCCGAATTTCTGCTTCAGAGTGATTATTTCAACTCGATCTTTGAATATGTTCATACTACTAATACGATTAGGTAATTTCCATTTTCTTTTCTCGCTTTTGGTAAAATTACTCTTTCCTCGGGTAATCTGCAAATCAGCGATAATTTAAATGCATAAAATATTTTTAAATAGTGCTATAATTCTTGAGTTCTGTGGTAGATCTTAGGAATCATAAGAGTAATAGAATAAAATTATTAAACATAAAACATATATAGTTATAAAAAAACATTATGTCAAAAAATTGCCCATTTTGCCCAAACACTTGCGTCATTTTATTGACAAAAATAAAATCAATTTCAAAGATATAGGAAAGGTAAAAGGTCTTTGAATACGGCCTAGCACCTACCTAATTTATGCTTTCGGCTTGATTAGTCCAATTATTTTGTATGAATAATCAAAAAAGAATAACTAAGAAACATAAAAAAAAAAAAAAAAAACAGCAAAAATAAAACATGGCAAGAGATATTATAAAACTGTTAATATCATAGTTTTAATTTTATCACAGAAATTATTTTGTAGAGTTGTGTTCAGTTTGCTTGGCTTTGCCCAAAATAATAATAATTTGAGTGAGTGACTATAGTTGTTATAGGTAATTTAGGGGGTTTTTAACGGTTAATGACAATTTAATTGTATTCTTTTGCATTAATGGAAAAAACAATACGTTTTATATTGTTACATCATTTATCGTGTAACATCTAATTTAATAACGCGTGTATAGTTATTTTTTTCCATTGTTACTGTATTTTTCAATAAAGATTTCTTGAAAGGATAGTTCGAAATATTTAATCTAACTAATAGTAGTGTTTGGTAATAATTAAATTAATTATTAACTAATTAATTAATCTTATTGTTTAATTTTGAATAATTGTTTCGTATTATTATCAAATCACCAAAGAAAATTGGTTTAATAATCATATAATTTTTAATAATAACAACCATTGATCAAAAAATAAAGAAACGAATGACAAAGATTACGGACGCGATTACGATAAGAATTATCATGATCATTATCTTAATAATTTATTGATGAAAATCAAAATAATGATGACAATTATTTTCTTGATTTGAAAAAAAAAAGATATTGTATTATATATAAACAAGGGAAAAAAAAATAAAAAAATAAAAAAAAAAATACAATTAACTGTTTTTTTTAAACATATAAAAAAAAAACCAAAAAACAAAACGAAAAATTCAAAAATAACGAAGAACAAACAACGAAAATTTATAACATAATGTACAAAAAAACCAAACAACATATATTTAAAAATTATACATCACGTCGGATTACACCAAAAGTTATTAAACTTAATAACGCTACTGATACCACTGAATATGATGGTGATTATGAATACGAATACCTTAAAACTACAACAACGTATTTTACAAAACAAAACCAAGGACAAGAAAAAATTTATAATGACATTATTGATAAAGAATTTAAAAAGAAAGTTATTAAAGCAACACAAGATCTTGAAATACTAAACAGTGACTGCGACAGATTTTTTTTGCAAATTAAACAAAAACTTGATAAAAATGAAAAACTTTTAAATGATTGTTATTATAATAACAACAACAACAATAAAGAAAATTCAGCAAAAATTTATTATAATAACAAGGAAAAAATAATCAACGAGAGTAACGATAATAATATTATTAAGAATATTATTAATGATGATGATATTAACGAAAAAAGTGATGATAATAATAAGCATAATAACGAATTATTATTCACAACATTAACTTCCACAAAAATTTGCGACAACACTAACACTTCTTCCATAATGAGTAGTAACAATAATAATAACAATGAAAAAAGTGAATTAATTAAAATATTCAAAAAACCGTTGTACACTTTATCCTACAAGATACCATCTCCAACAACATCAACGTCTCCATCATCATCATTATTAAACGATGATGATTCCGAAAAATTATTTAAAATGGAATTGCCACCGACCGATAATACAGCGTACAACATATGGTTTTATCGAAGATTGACAGTTTGTGATCCGGAATTTGTTCATGCAAATATCAAACTAATTACAATGAACGATATACAAAATGATTTAAATCATATTTTATCTGACGAATCCTCTTTCTTTAGCGTTCAAATACTCAAAGTCGATGACAGGGATGATGATAAACTTGAAAGCAAAGAAAAAAACTATTTAGAAAAAGTATTTAGCAGTAGTAACAACAGATCACTTTTATTAGAATTAATAAATAATCTTCGATTATTAATAAATTACTTTTTATATGTTGGTAGTGAATCTCATTATCCCAATAACGTCACTGAAAAAACTCCAAATCTTATCAAACTTTTGGATTTTGTTCTAGAATCATTTAAAAAATATAATTCCAACAATAATAATGATGACGATGACGATGACGATGATAAAAAAGAGAGCGGGGAAAAGGTGAAGAAAGTATTCAATTATGTTAAAGAGTTGATGCAGGTTGCTTGGTATAATAACAATGTAAGGACAAGAACTGACAGTGACAATCGACGAAAATTTAGAAAAGCTTGGTACATTGTATGGGATGAATTGGACAAATATTGTAACAATTTATAGCCAATCTAATTTTTATTTATTATTTACTTTTTTTTAATTTTTTTTTTTTGGATATTTTTTTCTATTCTTTAATTAATAACTATAGCTACGAACAATTTTTCACGGTGCTTAAATTTTCATCTAGTTGAAATAATTTTTGCACCAATATAATCTTTTTAAATCATTTATCAATAAAGTCAACTATATCAAAATAGTAAATGTAAATTATAACAATAATAATTGTATGAACGAAAAATTTCTATATCCATATTTCTCGAGAAAAAATTTAATGGTTTTTAGCGGCTTTGATGTAGTTTTGAATCTTTGCTAGCCGATCTTCAAAGTCACCAGTTGTGGAGATGCGTCCGGTGTCTCTTGTATGCTCCTGGTTGTGGAACTGCCACACTAGCTGCCTTTCCTCGAAAACTTTAGATGTGTGCTCGAAATTCTATCTAGCAATTTTTTTTTAAAAAAAAAGGCTTGCAAAAGCGTTGATTTGATCTGATAATATTTAGATGGCAATTAATGCTTTCAATATTATCCCTTTAAATTTGCATTTTATTCCGCCGGATATTATTACCTTAATATTAAAAAGTCATCGACACAAAGAAATAAAAATTAATATATTGTTTGATATGTAATAATCTTTTCATGCTGCGAAAATAATTTAAATGTGTATTAGGATATAACAATAGATTTTCAAAGCCATCATGGAAAGTGATAAAAGCTTTTCTGTTTCAAGGACTTGTTTCAAAAAAACTATAGAAAATGCGAAAGTTATTTTTAGATAGAAAACTTTACATTGGCCTGCGATTTTGCAAATTACCGGGGACAACAAACTTGAACACAGGAAAAGCTTCTGTAGTTCTTTGGAAATCCCTCTCACTCTGAATTTTTTATCGAATCATATCGGGGCCAGGATTAAGCTGTTTTTGAACACAGTGGCTAAAATCAAGTGAAAAAATGCCGATTGTGCGTTTGTAACCAAGCATGCAAATTATTCTGTTCTGGTTTTGGACAAGCGAGTGATGTCTTTATAAAGTCATTCATGACGCTTGATATCCGCAAGAGTCAATGATGAGATTTTTTAAGATTCAATAGCTTAAATTCGTGAAAAACCTCATCGACGATCTCTTGAACTTTTATAACACCTGAGGTTAAAAGATTCAAGAAGGAAACATTGGAATATCTGTAGTTGGTATGAGAATAAACACAATAAAATGGAGGTTATATTTCAACTGTCATCTCAAGAGAAGATCGTAGGAAATAAATGGTTCATTGATATTGATATTGATATATAATAATCTTTTGACTGTTGATTTATTTAAAAACATACGATTAAAATTAACCATAATATTGATAATAATAAAATATAATAAAATATAATATAATCTATTTTGAAGTACAATGATTTTTTAAGAGATGGAAGAGATTCTTGAACATCATCTTATATACACAAAGAACAATCATTTAATTTATTATTATTATCCTTTTTTGAGCTCCGTCTTCACTACCAGTTAGTCATTCTTTTTTCCGACAGTAGTGATAGTGGTTGTTGTAGTAGTCGTAGTCGTAATTGTGGGTGAAGTTATAGTTGCGGTGTTAGTTATAGTTGCGGTATTAGTTGCAGTAGTAGTCGTAATTGTGGGTGTAGTTACAGTTTTAGTCTCAGTTGTGGGTGTAGTTACAGTAGTAGTCGTAATTGTGGGTGTAGTTACAGTTTTAGTCTCAGTTGTGGGTGTAGTTATAGTTGAAGTTTTAGACTCAGTTATAGTTTTAGTCTCAGTGTCAGTTGTAATTATAATTTCGATGTCAGTGTCGGTTATAGTTTTAGTTTCGGGTGTAGTTACAGTTTTAGTCTCAGTTGTGGGTGTAGTTACAGTTTTAGTCTCAGTTGTGGGTGCAATTATAATTTCGATGTCAGTGTCGGTTATAGTTTTAGTGTTAGTTATAGTTTCGGGTGTAGTTACAGTTTTAGTCTCAGTTGTGGGTGTAGTTACAGTTTTAGTCTCAGTTGTGGGTATAATTATAGTTGAAGTTTCAGACTCAGTTATAATTTTAGTCTCAGTGTCAGTTGTAGTTTTAGTATCAGTTATAGTTGTGGGTGTAGTTATAGTTGAAGTTTCAGTGTCAGTTATAGTTTTGTCAGCGTCAGTTATAGTTTTAGTCTCAGTGTCAGTTGTAGTTTTAGTATCAGTTATAGTTGTGGGTGTAGTTATAGTTGAAGTTTCAGTGTCA